TCGGGAAGGGCCCGCAAAAGTAGTATCGACGCTTTCTGATACCAATTGTGAAGTTAAATTAGGAAGGCGGCCAAACAAAATTTACAATTTGATAAAACCATACGAGCAATGTCAAGCGGTCGTAAATCAGCTGTTGAGTGCTTCAGAGGAAGAGGGAGCAGAAATTTTTAGTTCTTGTGAGATAATCGAAGGGGGATCGAAAGTAATCTGGGAGGAGTTGAACCGAGAGCCTAGGCTAAGTGAAGTCCGGAAGGAGGACCTGAGAAGGATTGTTTCCGAGTTTGGAGACGTGTTTTCGGACCGCCCCGGAAACACGAGGGTGATCGAACACGATATTGAGCTAAGCGGTGAGGAGTCAATCCGTAGCAAGCCGTATCGTTGTTCTCCTGTGGAACGTCGCAAGTGTGAGCCGCTCTTGGTACCGCATAGGTATCGTCGCCTAAAAGTGACCGGTTACTGAGAAGGAGCGTGATACTCCGACAGCGCAACTTTGACGTTCGCTAAAAAAAAAAGGAAAGCTAAACGCTAATGCAGGTGCATTGAGCAGTGCGTTCTAGTTAGTACCTTCTCAACCTTTCGGTTTCTCGCTGGCGATTCGGGGCAAAATTTTGACCTCATCACGACCTTAGCTGAGCGTTCTCGTCTAGAGTGAGCTCAAGGAGCCAACTTTATGTTGTATTCTAATTCGTTACGTTGTTGTACGTGAAAAAAATTTGAGTTGTCATTTTAAGGGCCTTTTGTCCCACATGTGCCTCTTGATGTAGAGGGAACAAAATTCCGATAGACACTTAGCTAGGTATATGTTGTACTATACTTTGTCTGGTGTTCTGTCGGGTGACCGAGGGCACTTGCTTGTGTCGTGTGTTGTCTGTTGTCGATTCGTTCTTGACAAGTTGCAGAACCATCGACAAGTGCTGAAACCAAGGATCGTTAGAGACGAGTGAAGCTGGTCGGCAAGTTGTGGCGACAAGCCAGCGGAGCTGGGATCCGTCGTCAAGAATGGGATGTGTTCCCGGAACAGAGTCTGGAGCTGCATTCTCCCCATGGCCCTGGAGGCGAACCTGGAGGGACCTGGCGAACGAGCGCGCCTGTCATCCGAGCCCCGTGGAAGCAGCTCGTCTTTCCGGCGCATTGTCTGGTGGCGGGGGTGCTGTTATGCCTGCGAATCCACAGCGGACGTCCGTGCCTCTGCAAAAGGCAATCTGTGTCAAGGCCAGCCCGCGTCGCCCGCCTGACGCGATCAACAACTCAACGGCGCCTTTCTGGCGTGCACGTGCAGTGAGTCATCCCAGCAAGCGAGCCCGTCGAGTAAACAACGGGCGTCTTCATGTCTGGGTGTCTGACGCGGCCCAGCGGCGACCCCATTGGAGGAATCAGCCCTGACGACCAGCGGCGCTTCTGGTTGGACATTTGAGTTGCACCCGGTGCATATAAAAGAAGCCCTGCGGCGCGTCGTGAGTGGACCCGTTTGAGAGCACACCTTTGTGTTAGAGAGGAGAGCTCGGCTCTTCGAGTCTCTGTCGGCGCCAGTGCCGAATTTGTAACGCCTCTGTATATATGCTGTACATAAACCTTGTTTAACTCACCGTCGTCTCGTCCGCTCGTCTATCAGCTCTGCGCAGAAGCAGTCGCGAGCTGAGAAACCTACGCTACCAAACGGCTGGTGACCTTCCCTGCGGAGTTCGAAGCAGTGGCGCCTTCGGGACCGTGTTGGCGTCGCCGTCTTTCGCAACAGCGCCCAACACGAGGCGTCCCATAGCTTCTTGATTGATTGACATTCATTATCAATTGCATATATTATCAAATACACACCACGTAGTTCCCAAATGCTAGACCCGGAATCGTTACACATTTCCGCTGACCTGGAACCTCCTCATATATACTCAATGTATCCCCATAACGCTCTGTGCTTCCTGTAGCATTCCTCTTTCCCTTTGCTATTGAGGTGTTTGCTTGTACCTCCATGTACCGATCACCGTCGTTTACCAATACGCTGAGGTACTTAATTGTATTTTTTTACCCTCTTTATTCCTGGGTGTTGTGTATGGACAGCGCCTGATCACTGGTACCATTGAATATCCATCTATCCTTATTTTGTTGCACTAAATCCAGCTCCTTCCCATTTGCCTATATCCGTCAGATTGGGCTACCACTCAAAGAAAACAACATCGTCAACATAAAATAAACCTGCTACTCAGCCATCACACAGCCCTGTATGTGTGACAGATTAAAAGCAATGTTGCTACCTTCTAGCGCTTTTTCCACCATCACCATGTACAGCTCCAATAAAAGAGGGGATGAAGGACATCCCTGTCCCGGCCAATCTCAACCTTCTCTTTGCCACTCGTTCCTTCCCATTTTATGCAAACAGTATTTTCTCGGTCTATCTCCCTCAAAAGCTGTAGGAATTCGTCACCCTATGACTCAATTCCTTTCAGCATATCCCACAGTATTTCCTGATTCACGTTGTCATACGCCCAGCCACGTATAAGGGCCTGTTTTCTGTTTTGGATATTTCTACACACTTAGTATAAGAACAAATAGGCTATCATCTAACCGTCTGTTGTCTCGAAATCCATTTCGAAGTTATCCCAAAATATTCTAATGTCCTGTCCACGTTTCTATATTTAATTTTACTACCTGCACCCTTTTCTCGCCTGAACTTATAGCTCACTCCACCTTTTTCGCCAAGTGGCTTCACCTGTAAGCAGTTTTCTTTGGCTTTCGACAGCACGTCATTTGTGCCATGTCTTAGTTCGTTAATGGGGCTGACGGGGCCGTGCACTTACGAGAACCCAGGGCCGTGCATTTACCAGTTTTGCCGTCGACCTTTTCTCAGTTCAAATTCTCTAGTACTATAGCTTTTCCTCGGTTGGGCTCCCCGTCATTGCTGACTGAAGAAATCCCCTGGGCACTCTTTTTAAATGAATCGACTCTTTTTAAATGAATCGACTCTTTTTAAATGAATCGGATGTAACCTAGAGCTTCGTATCCTCCCAATCGACTTTTTCCTTGTGTTCTCGCTTCCCTCACTCTTTCATCCCCTCTTCCTTACTTTTCTATCTCCCCTTCCCCAGTGCAGAGTAGCAAACCAGATACTTGCTTTCCGGTTTCCCTCTGTGCCTTTCTTCATACCATCTCTCGCTCTCTCGCTCTTCCTCTCTCTCTCCAGTATGCTGTTGCATTGTTACATAGCTTCACACTATTTTACACTTCAACTCGCCTTGGTTACTTGAACTCGTCAACATTTCCTTATACGGAAACTCTGCCAAAAGACGTGCTTTTAAAGTAAAATTAATTTTCGCATGTCATGCTTACTGGCATCGACACATGAGACATCTAATTCTGATGGCGTCTATTTCACCGCTGACAGGCATATTTCGCTTCAATTCGTGGAAAGGTTTACTGTCTACACAAAGATGAAATAAACCCTCAAAAAGTATGAGTCATATTTTTTTGTAAAGCCAGCTTTATTTCGTCTGTAATAGCATGATACTTTGATGAATGGCATGTGTGAATGTAAATTCGCCTACAGCACTGCTGCTTAACGATTATGAATAGCTTGCACGTGACATCATATATACTCATCACAACGTGGCTCTAACATGGCTGCTTAGGTCATGACGTCAAGTCAGCATAATCACGCGGTGATTAATCTCCATCAGTGTGACAATGACGATGCCGCTTACAGGTTATTGGGCCTCTGTGCATGAATGACAAGAAAACCAGCAAGTATATATATATATATATATATATATATATATATATATATATATATATATATGGGATATGGCACAACGGGAGCGTTGTCAACAAGGGTAAATATCAAGGGTAAATATATTTTTTTCCCAACAGTTTCAGGAGGGGTCCTCCCTTCATCAGGGGATGAAACTCATCCCCTGATGAAGGGAGGACCCCTCCCGAAACTGTTGGGAAATAAATATATTTACCCTTGTTGACAACGCTCCCGTTGTGCCATATCCCATACCTTCACGAAGACTAACTGGCCCATTGAATTATTACTCCCACTATATATATATATATATATATATATATATATATATATATATATATATATATATATATATATATATATATATATATATATATATGTGTGTGTGTGTGTGTGTGTGTGTGTGTGTGTGTGTGTGTGTGTGTGTGAACATTTTGTATTTTGTAGTGATTGTTCTGGATCCTGCGTTAAATGGTGCAGCCCCATTACTGTCTGTGAAACACAGTGCATAGAACGGGCACCCAGCTATTCCCGTTCGTAGAGTTCCCACTGCTCCGCTTATCAAACCGCTGATGACATCACTGTTCGAGGTATACATGTAATGTTTCACCGGTGCGAGTAGAATATTATCAGTGAGATTCGCAAAGTCTGTGTTGTGTGTCACATCCACGTGGTACTTTCTTTTGCTGCGTTCTGTCGACTTCCCGCTTGTTACGGCAGTTGATACACGTGTGGTCTACAGCGAGTTCCGTCAGGGTGTTTTCCCCTTCCGATGCAACGACAAAGGCGCCCAATAAGCGCCGGTGGGAAGGGACAACGCTCCCTTAGCGAGGCGGGGCGTCCTCTATAGCGTGGCGGGGGTGTCAGTCGCATGTTTCTTATTGCTATTATGTTAATTATTGCAATCACTTTCTTATTAAATTTTCTAACTATTTCCGAAAGGTTTTTATTGCTGTTATGGTAACTATTGCAACCACTTTCTGATTATTTCTTCTAACTATATTATTTTAGACCTCGTTCGTTCGTTGTAACCCTGTTTTTAGCGTTGCTAAGCTCGTTTTAGGCTTATATGAACTGCTTGAGCGTGATCACATCACATGAGATCTATATACGGACGGACAAGTCAGGCCCCCTAAATTGCCACGCACTTAAAAAAAAAAACATGTTTGCGGTAACGTTAAGGTGGCTTGTGTTCGCGGCAACGTTGGTAGCTTGAATGATATTACTCCCATTCATACAAATTAATGAGGCACCAAACTGCTGCTCCTAGGCATGACATGTATACGTCTCTCATTCATTATAAACCGAGCAACACTATACTTACAACCTGTTGACTAATGATGCAGTGATCACACAAATGACCAGCAACACCGATTGAAAACACCCTGCTGCTGATACGCCGTTGTGTTTCTGAATCAAAGTCTTTTCTGGTTGAACAGCTGCAGACAGCGGCGACAAGGAAGACCTCGGTGTTGTCACTGGGCTTTCTTGTTGTATTGCGTTTTTAGAATGGCCCTCCTCTGTTGCTTCCTCGTTCTCTTCTTCTCCTTCTTCTTCCTCTTCTTCTTCGTCCTTCTCCTCTTCATCCTCTTCAACCTTTATCTTCTCTTCCTCCCCTGGTTCCCTGCGAGTACCACAGCAGAATGCAAGTGAACAGAGTGAAAGCTGAAGTGTTTAGAAGGTCGGCGGGAGTGAAACGGTTGCACCTGCTTGCTAGATTTTTGAAAAGGCCCAGAATATTCAAAGCTGGTTTTGGAGTGCCTGCTGTGCTAGCAGAGAGCACGCGATGTAATGCCTTTTACCCATGGAGCTTTGCTCAAAACCGCTCAGGGCGCAGAACACAGCCTGCCACTGACCGAGGGAACGGGCGCACATGCCTATTGATATGCATATGTGAGGAACGCACGTGGTTTTCCGCCTAGCCGTCTTCGTCAGCCTCGGCGTGCGTGGCGGAGATTCGAATTTTGAGCGAGGCTAGCACGCACAGGGTGGTCATCACCGTCCCGCCCGTGCCACTCCCTGGATTCTCCCGTGGCCGCGTACCGCCTTGGCTGCCAAGGAGAAGACGCATTACACGCATGAGGTGTGCCCACGCAGGCTTAACATCAACGTCAGTCAAGCAAGAGGTCGTGCGTTCGATTCCGCGCGCGACTCGCTCGCTGGATTCCGTGCCGATCGGTTGTGCCCTCGCGATCTCCGACGTCAGCGTAGCTCTGACCTACTGGACTTTCCCTACGCCATCTCCTGACGCCGACAAGTGCTCTCGCAAGCGGTGCCCCGTCCTCGGACTCCTGTGACCGTGTTTCCATCTTTCCTATCTCTCCTATCCCCTCGATATGTCGTCGCTCTCACGCTTTCACGCTTACCTCATCTCTCTTTCTCTCTCTCTCTCTCTCTCTCTCTACACCTTTATTCCTATCCTTTTAATCCCTCCTCGCCCCCATTTCTTGTGAGCTACTGTTGAGGTGTCGCTCCCTAAAGCAGACAGTTACGGGGCTCACTTTTCTTTTCCTTCTTACAATATAACCCCCCCCCCCCCCTGGAACGTTCACGTGGATGCAGGTTCGTACTCCGACGCGCTGGCCTTCGATGACGTTGGCGTGTCCCACCGTGTTCGAGTGCCACGCTAACCTTACCAGTGGATCGCGTGCATGTTCTTCCGCTATCCAAGGACAGGGGCCGTAAATGTTCCAGCAGCGCACGATAGGATACTGAGCCAAATTTTTGCCGTAAAGATTTGCAGCCGTATTAAAAGACCGCGTGCTGAAACCGATAGATAGGTAAACATATCAGGCAGAAACTCGCGGAAATCAATACTGATTTTTTTTTCCCCAAACTTCTGCGCCTAGCGGCCACGGCGCGAACTGGAGGAGGTGACGTTTATGCCCCCGCAATCGGACGTGCCCATTGCACTCGCACTTTGCGTGCTTGCGTGCTTTGCTCAGCGGGTTTTGGGACGTAAAAGGAAAGGTGGAAAAATAAAGGCAGCTGGAAAGAGTGCGCCGCTAGCCCGCCACTGTTGCTGCCTGAACTCACGGCCACGCTTTTGGAATTCTCTAAAGTTACAGCCAAATATTCAAAACAAAATTTTAAGATAGTGTTGCAGCAGGCGTCTTAACCGCGTCGAGTTTCAATGTTTTTTATCGTTTTCTCATATTTTTTGTTCAGTATATCTCTTCCGTAACATCATGTGCAACCTATCAAAACACAATCTAAAACTGTAGCGGAAACTTCATACCTGGGGTTTCACCATCGAAAACCACTATGTGATTAATAAGCAAGCCGTTGTAGAGGTCTCCGGAAATTTTGATTCATAGCCTAGCGGAGACGAAAGAACGAACATTCAACAAATACGTGTATTTACCGTCATTCCCATGCTGGCTGATGCGCCGTGCATTGCAGCTCCCAAATAGACTATCATGCAAGCATCACGTGCAGGCAACGTCAGTTTCGGTTGCAGTGGTTGACCGTTTGCTTTTAAACAACGTAATAAACATTACGCTGCGTACGCCTATTATTGTGCAAGCTCTAGTCAAGTGGTGGCTCGGCTACTGTTGCAATACCTCTGTAACCGTTATCAGGTGGTATAACGCTAAATATGGCATCGTAGAGTAGCTCGTCGATTCGCTAAAAATGATCTCTAGCTATTTCTGTAACGTTTGCGCCGATGTTACGTATAGTACCGCGAGTTATACTCGCCTGTCTAGTCGACGTATATGCCTGGTAAGCACCCGATGCTCGCACGATCACTGAAAGTACACGAACGAATCGACCAATAAGTTCCACCTAAGGGGCACCTGCAAGCGCCTACCAATTCCGTTATAAAGGGCTTTTCATCCATCCCATCGTAACTATTAGCTTAACGCACTCGCAAGAAAACAAGAACAAAATGCAGCGTATAAGCTCTGCTATTTCCTCACTGCTTACAGCATGACTACGTGCACAAGCTTGAGCGTGTTGGTGTATGAAACATTGGACAGAACACAATGCAACCGAAAACGGAGTGCAATTGAGGAACGACACACACACACACACACACACACACACACACACACACACACACACACACACACACACACACACACGCGCGCGCGCACACGCACACACACACACACACACACACACACACACACACACACACACACACACACACCGCCTTCTCCCCGTATATACTCCGCTGTGTTCCTCCCAATGTCTCGGGCGAAATTGATTCCCACAATGGCGTGCGATCTGCCAAAATTTGGTCCACTGCGTCATGCAGCTCGATTTTTCGCTCACAACCAACGCCGCTGACGCCGACACACGCATTAACAACGGAATCGCTGTGGACCGGCTTTTTTTTTTTTTTCAACGTCATCGCGTTAAAGACAAGAAAATTGTGTGAGCCCTATACACTGTCGAATTTCTCCGGTTATACCAGCTGCTTTCCCGCACGCTGCATGGGCAAAAGTTTTGTCCCGACTTCCCCGATCCATCGCCACTTATCCGAGCAACATGTTCGTACGCACTTTTTGATGAGGAAGCGTCGCCAAACGTTGCAGATGTCGCGGTTCGGCCCCAGCTGCTTCGTGGGTCCGTTCAGGTCCACTCTTACGTACTCGGGATTGGCCGATGTGTAGAGCGGCCAACTGTCGTTCGACAGCGGCACCGTTGGCTTCCTGCACGAATAATAAATGCGCGTTGACACAAGTCGTACATGCGTGGTAAATCAGTTGACAAATTAATTTTGAATTAGCAAAGGGGTCATTATTTCGCGACACACGTCAACACTTCGTCAACTGAACTCGCTCTCGGTCGCTCGCAAGCACGCGCTTCAGAGGGCAGGAAAAATGACCAGAGGTCATTATCAGCGAAAAAAAAAAAACACGATCAGAATAAATGTGAATAGTGCCATACGTGACGGCTTCGTTCCACCATACACACATCAAGCAGCTATCCTTAAATGAACACCACACGTTGTACTGTCCAACAAGAGTGTTTAGCTCTCCTACAAGATATGTATTGTACAAAAAAAAAATCACTTCTTTCTGCTTATTATTATATGTATTCAGAAATGTTCCGAAAATGTTTAATGCAATATTCACTTGATTTTGATTATTCTGATTTGCTTCGAGGCTGAAAATTTTACATTTTCAGGGCCCTTGAAAACGACAGTTCTATCGCAGCAGCACTACACGGGCAATAAATAAGTGAAGCTCGTACGTCGCTCAGCAGAAAAGTCGATGCATCGCATGCGTTTTTTTTTCGTTTTCGGTTATTAATTCCTCGTAATTTGTGGAAGAGGCTGCGAAAATGAATTGTGACCGCCAGCGGCGGCCTCTGCTGTTAAGACTCGTCCGCCTTTGAGCAGTGAATGAGGCGAGAAAAAAAAACAAAAAAAACTACGGAAAACACATGAATTTCATTTGGTCCTGAAGAACCCCAATTAGGCACTCTTCGAAAGGGGTTCCGCCGCAGTTGCTGGCCACGCCCAGGTCGGTATACTGTATACACACACCGCGACGTGTATACGGCGACCGTGTCAAGGCGATCGCGATAAGACGATGTGATACGATCTCTCTTTTCCCCGACGCGATCCTTCACCTTGCAACAGCGCGCGTCCTGTTTTGCATCCGGCGACGCCTTCTAGTGGATGGAGAACTATAGAGCTATAACCTTGGAATCGGTCATAGACCGCGGATTAGGCTGCGCGTGCGTTTCGTCATTATAGCTTCCCAGAGAACGTCCGTATGATCCGGTGAAATCTGCACAATCTTAGCAGACACATGTAGTCTCTGAAGGAATTAATTGCTCAGCTAGTTGGTCGTGCGTAACTGGCTGAGACATAATAGCGCAAAATGTTACTAATAGTACCGATGTACAAACTTTTGACAGAGAAATTGATGCTTATTTTGGTAACGGTTGAAGTACTGCCCATTCTGTTTTCCTGTGTTTATTGCTTAGTGGTTTTTTTAAATGTTCTGTTTGTACTCATATTGTACTCCCTCCCTGTTATGACCCTCAAGCGAGGGTTGACAGTATTATTAAATAAAAAAAACGCGCGTCTTTCGTCTTCTTTCTTGCGTTCGTCGGCTTTTGTTTTAGCGCTAATATGTCTCAGCCAGTCAGCAGGCACGTTGGTATAGCAAGCTGTATGCGAACCAGATTATAGGTAAGAGGTGAAAAGGAAAAAAGTATTTTCCTCGTACTGAAGCGAAGCTTGTTAAGAGTCACCGATGGCGATGGTGGCGGCGTCGTCGTCGTACGCGGAAAACCCGGCGCAGCTGGATAACGGAAAATGAGACCCTCGATGGTGTACCGGGTCACACAACAAACGAAATGTTGTTGTTCTAACACTATATAAACAAGACTAAAATGCTAGACCTATTCTTATAGAAGGCTATCAACATAAAAAACAACGACATAAACCAACATGAAAACAAATCTAAGTGACATTTGATTGTATGCGTCTGTTATTGCACTTTCTTTCCCGTGTTATATAAAAGTGCCTTTCGGTTGTATTCTGCGGTTTCTGTATGCTTATTATTAAATTTATGCATTACACTTTCATTCCTATGGTATTCATATGGAAATGAAATGCTATGTACTATTCTGCTCTACTATGCGGTACGTGTAACATGCTTTCTACTGATGCGCTAAGAACAACTTCACGATTGTCTCTGCCTGGGGCACCGAAGCTTTGTCAAGCCGACGTACTCACGTTCGGCCTTTTCTCCAGTTTTACCTTTTTCACATTATGTACGAAATGGTGACAATAAAAGATTTTGATTGATTGATTGATTGATTGATTGATTGATTGATTGATTGATTGATTGATTGATTGGTATGCTCATCTCTGTGCGCCGTCTCTACAAAAACTGGTGCTCGTGATTAGGAAAATTATGCACAGGATCTAAACCATCAACCATTCACCCCCGTCCACGCTCATGCGCTCAATATTTGACTCAAAACTCGAATATAATACATTGGCCTTCATTTCCTGTGTATCATACCATAGCTAAACTGGAGAGAGAGAGAGAATATTTTGACCTACCCTGTCTTGGCGAAGGCCGTGATGGCGGCAATCATGTCGGTCATGAGGCGCTCCTCCTGGTCGGTGTGTTTGACGGCGTCGTAGAGAGCCCGGTCGGGAAGCACGGCCTCCGTGTAGCGGCTCTCGTCTCCGTAGAAAGACAGCGAGCCGAGCACGAAGGGAATGTCGTCGCCGTGCGTGGCGCCGTACCAGCGGGGCCACAGGCTGTAACTGGGCCGGTGCGCGAAGACATAGCGGTAAGTGGGCAGGCCCTGCTCGGAGGCGATTTCTGCGAAGAAGTTGGAGGCACACACGAAGAGGCCTTCGCCGGCCGCGTCCTGCAGAGTGCTCAGTATGGACTCCTTATCGCCCGGATGGTCGTTGGGGAAGTACGCCTCCGTGACCTCCTTGGCCGAGCCGCCAGGAATCTGTTGGGCGAAACGCGCTTTTGAAATAAATACCTTATAGCGTGACTTGGCAACACTGTTCGTGTCAAGACGCTGGTCAAGATCACTTAAGACATGGGTTGTGTGAATTCGGTGCCCTCTATTTTTCACTTGAAGCGCGTTTGTTCGGTCAGTTCGTGGAGAATGTTTGAAAACCAAGCTGTTTTAGCCGCCCGAACAAAACGAAACGTTAAGCACTAAAGCTTATCGCGAACTTTTTGATCACGTGTTGGGCTCACACACTGTGGGCCTAAATCGTGTTGTGCAATACCAAGCGAGTAAAGAGAAGGCGGGAATGTTCACCTTGAGTAGAGCGCTGATGATGGCCGTGGCAGTGGTGCGGTGGTCGATGTCGAGGTAGCTTCGCACGAAGGGTGCCAGCCGGAAAGCGATGTCCATGAACAGGGAGCCCTCGTCCTTCATAGTGCCTATCATCACCTCTGTGCTGCGGATCTTGTTGCGCCAGGTGCTGAGGTAGGAGCAGTCGTTGGGCACGTAGGGATCACCGCTCACCGGCGCATAAATTGTCTTTCGCGGGTCCACGCCGTTCAGCAGCCGCAGGAAGTCCTCCTTGTCGACTTTCCGGAGACAGTCCATGACTTCGGAGAGTTCGCGGGGCCTCCAGCCGACGCATTTCACGTGGCGCGCGAGGCTCATAACGATGTCGACCCCCTTGGACGCTATGGTGAAGACGACGTTAATTGGGCTTCCGCTGAGCATGATCATTCTCTTGAAAAGGCCTTCGCCGTAGGGCGACACCGAGTGTAAGGCCGCCGATATGGCACCGGCGCTCTGGCCGAGCAGTGTCACCTGCTTCGGATCGCCGCCGAAGAAGCCTATGTTCCGCTGGACCCACTTGAGGAGCAGGTTCTGGTCCCAGATGCCCCAGTTGCCGGCAAGCTCGTCCGTGTCGGACGACAGAAAGCCGAACACGTTGAGCCGGTAGTTAAAGCTCACGAAGACCACGTCGGAGTGCGCCACCATGTTGGCTCCGTCGTGGAGAAAGATGGCCGAGTCGCCCCACTGAAAGGCACCGCCGTGGATGAATACGATAACCGGAAGGTTCGCCTTGCAAGAAACGGTGTCCTTGCAAGGCTTGGTCGGCCTCCACACGTTCAAGTAGAGACAGTCTTCCGAGTTGAATAGCCCATAGTACAGCGTCACATTGTCCGTGTGGAAGTGGTTCGTCTGGGCGCACGGCGGGGGTTTCGACGTGGCCCGGAAAGTACCGTTCCATGGCCTCGCCGGCACGGGTTTGCGGAAGCGCAAGTCATCGACGGGTGGCTCAGCGTACGGCACGCCGTAGAAGGCGTCCACTGGCCGACCGCTCACCGTGATCGTCTGTCCGCTCACGAGTCCGCCCTCTGTGCGCACGACGGGCGCATTTTCGGGAAGCGAGGCTACTGCTGACGCTAGCGCAAACGACAATACGGCGCTCAGAGACGCAGCGTTCATCGCTCCCGTTCTTTGACTGCGCGTCAACTTGTGCCAAGAGAGGCCTATAACGGATCACGCTCTCCACTTTTTTTTTTTGGAACCGCGCTGCTGGGGGGGGGGGGGGGGGGGAGGCGAGGTGCCTGCTCTGCATTGATCGCGCATGATAAAGGTGAACGTTTGCCAAGTTGATTGCTTGTTTAGTGTGCCTCCATTAGTTTGTGGCGCGACGACTGTTATCGGCCGACTTGATCGATGGAAACTTGTAGATGGTGATATGCGGGCCTGTTTTATTATCAGGGGTTAGATCTGCGGGCTACTTTCCTTCCACGAAAGAATGAAAGAAACGTGCAGGAAACATGCAGCGTTGCGTGGAATATTTGTCGATAAAATAAAACCATCGATGTACTTACTATTATGGGGAATCAACCGTAATTTATTGTCACTGTCTGACCGTTTTCTTCGGTTGAGTCCGCAGATTAGGTGCATTCAGCAATACACACCTTATGATGTGCCCCACGGTGTCATCAGTGTTTCCATACGGTGGTTAGGATAGCGTTCACGCATTGTTTCTTTTTTGTGTTTGGGGTGGATGAAAGATGCTGCAGCTTTGGTCGTGCAGGCAGACGCCGCCGGTGACTTGAAAAGCTGCGCGTCAGCAGGCGCGGTTGCAGACATTTCATGATGTTCTGAAGCTATAGAGAATCACGTGGAATCCACTCAGCTCCGCGAACCACTGCACCTATTGGTGGAAACGGGACAATAGAGCCGAGTAAAACAAGCTTAGCGTTTTAATTCATAAAAAATAAAAAGGCGCAATGAAAAACAGTTTTAGAGTATGCGACATACGAGCACACATAGGTCGGCAAAAAATGTTAAACTAACTCAGACTCAATCGTGAAATATATTTTGCCCCTATAGGATTCACCCGGACTCACACTAACTAAAATTTTTCTCACGAATCGCTCGGACTCAGGCTCACTACAATATTTTTTAACCGAACTCGCTCGGACTCACGCTCACAACAATTTTTTTAACCGAACTTGCTCTGATTCAGGCTCACCATAATATTACCTACTCGAACTCGTCCCACGGCTCGATCTAAGTCGAAGTGAGTCGACTCGCGAGTCCTTTAGCGTATATTCAACTTTTCAGACCAAATATTCAACAGCTCCTTAACAGTAGCGCCTTGCATAATCGGTTCCCAATAGGCACCTCTTGGTCTCTCGCATTGAAATTCGAGTTATGAGCAGTTGCGATCCATTAGGAACATTTTTTATAAGAGAGATGAACTATAACTTTATCAAGAATTCCCGTGAAACGCTTGCTGGGGAAAGTGGAGGCACTGCACCCGCTCAAAACTCACACTTCTGGTCAATAAATATTGAGTTGGCCTATGAATTCTACTCTGTTCAAATATGTACAAGTATACGAGGGTATAAACGCTAGCCAGCGTAAGGCAGATAATAATGCAGAAGTTCAGTTGTTAGCACCATAGATCGGCACGAAACTGTGGAGCTCACTCAAACTCAGTAAGGACATATATTTTGCCCCTCGGACTCGACCGCAGTCACACTCACCAATATTGTTCCTCAAGCGAACTCATTCATACTCGGCCTCATTAACATTTATCTCAACCGGACTCAGTCGGGCTCACACTTGTGGCGCCACGCTAGATTTGCCCGGCTGGCCGCGCCAAAAAAGAAGCGAGCCGCGAGGAATTTAAGAACGGCTGAGCTTCTGGACTGGCTGGACGCGGCAGCTGCGACCTCACCTGTGCGCGCGTCCCAAATAAAATCCGCGACCACGGCACGGCCTCATGAGCTGCCGTCTCGTTTCACGTACCTCAACACACTCATCGAGGTATTACTAACTCCCACTCACTCAGACCCAGACTCGCGGCTCGATCTTCGTCTGAGTTTGAATGAGTCGACTCATTAAGGAGTTTGTCGACCTATGCGAGTGCCAGTGCAAATAGCAGGATCGAAAAAAAAAAACACACAAACACACTGTGCGTGGTAATCAGTGAGGCCTTGTACCTACTATACCGTGTATAGAGAGAATGACGTCCCCGACATCGTGGCAGCACGGTCTATACGACGTCTTACCGAGATGATTAAAATTATAAAAAGAAGTCATTAATCAAGAGAAGTGACCATGTCGGTTGCTTATAGTGTGAGCGCGTCCGTACTCTCCTAAAATTTAGTTGCTGCAGTATTTTCTGTGGTACTTACAACAGCAAACAGTAAAATAAATGCAGACAAATGTATTGAACCGGACAATATACCGGTTATTGTTTTACGACGTCGACGACACACACACACACACACACACACACACACACACACACACACACACACACACACACACACACACACACACACACACACGCATGCACAAGGGATGTCTCAGCTAACTCGCCAACTCGGACAAATATTTAAAAAAAACATGCGCTCTAGGAAAGTTTTGCCTGCTGCATTTTAGTGTCACGTGTACATGCCCCCTGCGTGTACACACAACCTAAAACTCATCATCATCATCATCATCATCATCATCATGACTACGTCCACTGCAGGACAAAGGCCTCTCCCATGTTACGCCAGCCAACTCAGTCATGTGCTTGCTGCTGCCAATGTATACCCGCAAACTTAATCTCTTCTGTCCACCTAACCTTCTGTCTCCCCCTAACCCGCTTGCCTTCTCTGGGAATCCAGTTAGTTACTTTTAATGACCAGCGGTTATCCTGTCTACGTGCTACATGACCTATAACTCAACACTAATGAATTAATTGACTTTATTTAGTTAACATTTCGAATTTTCGCTCAAATCGCAAAAAATATTTCAAGTTGCAGGTCGCCTCACATAACCGCACAAACAAGCATTTGTCTTGTGCTGAAATCTTCATAGTTGTTTTTTTTTTCGAGATAAATTAACAAAAACTCGCAAAAACACGGCAAAATATGAAATCCGTGGACCCGCACTCACGCGCCATTACGCGAACACTTCCAAGCGTTCTTCGATTGCGTTCGTTCATCGTTGAATTGCACAGGGCTTAATGCTTTTTGGTGGACGTGTAAGCCGCATGTTCTGACGTGTGTCCATTAAAAAAAAATGTGCAGCCCTGTACAAGGAAAGGATGCCGCCGTGTATAAAATCAAGGAACACTTGAAAGCACCCTTATAGTGGCACGCGTCCATTATTTAATTGTCGTGTTTCGCGTACTTTCGTTTTTCCTCGGCAAAAAACAACCAGGCACACTTCAGCACAAAATAAATACTTGGATTTAGTTATTTTAGGCTACCTACAACGTAAAAATAATATGTTTCCTATTCGAGCAAAAATAGCAAATTTAGATAATAATTAGTGCCAAGTAATGAAAAAATACAGGTTGTATGTACACATAACTACCACTATAATATAAAGCTGGTGGAAGAAAGAGGATTGAGATAAAAGCTGAAAGGTCAGCCTGAATCAGTTTTCTGATCCACGTTACGTAAAAGAAGGGGCTAGTAAAGAAAGTAGACAGTAGAAAGTAGTTGATGAGGATGAAGGCGATGATGGATCTAAACCTTGAATGCCCAAAAGTGATTTCTTTCCCACAGTGCATGGAGCTATCCTCGGCGCCCGGTACCTATATTCAGGCTGTCCCAAACATCACGCAGCACAGTTAGAAAAAAAGGACCGACAGTAAACGAAATGAACCTATTACATATTGTCCTTAGTACGCTTTGGCAGCCGCTACTTATTTATTGTTAATGAGAATTCGTTGATCATTTATAATTATATTATCACAGAGACTAATTACAGTATCCGATGTTATGAAGAATCAGCGTCCACAGTCTTGTGCGCGCTCCTGCTTGTGGCCCCACGACTCATGCCTCTCGTTTACGGGCACGAGTCAGTGTGGGTTGGAGCTGCGAAGAAGAAGAAGGCGCGTTGGCGGATGAACAGTTTTTGTTTTGGGAACGCTCTAGCGGACTCTTCCATTTTTCGCACATAATTATCAGGGCACAAGTTCGCCCATAATATACCAGTTTTTTGGTGTTTCTTCTCTTGGACCTGTTACAATATTTGTACCTCCAAAAGTGTTCACTTGATTATCAAAATATCAATGAGACACATAAGCGCGTGTTGAAACTACATCTGTCTGCACCATTTTTAACAACGTATTTATTGCATGCTCATTTTTTTTCTGTTATTAAAAAATGCCTGCGAAATCTGGAAAGTGACACCTAACTATAGACTGCTCCGCGCATCAGGAAGCAGCGCCCTCAAACATGCTCACTGTGAGGTTTCAATTGTGAATGAAAAGAAAAAATGCAGAAAGAAAAAAATACGAATGACCTTATCTGCCTCTTTCCGGCCGTAGATTAATTGACTGATTGATTGATTGATTGATTGAAAACGTGTATTTCGAAGTAAAAGATAGGTGCAGCCCTTAAGAGGCTTTGCAATGGGTGGAGTTTCTTCCAGAACACCTTGGTAACAGCCGCTAGCTCAGGCCTCTGGACCAATAAGGCCACTTGAGCCTGAAGATCCTAGCAATTGAGCAGGGCTGCCGTCCACTCCTCTCGGGTTGGGTTAGGGGGAAGAGCTGAGTTGAACTGGCAAGCCGAAACCAAGTGGCATAGGTGTCAGCCACTTCCCCACGGTATTGGCACTTCTTGCCAGTGAAGGAACAATCTAAATGTTTCAAAATTGGTGGGCACAATAAAATATTAGTGGAAAGTCGCATGCAAGGTGCGTTCATTAGCCTTTCCCAGCCCCTTTGGAGAAGGTGAGTCTTGATTATGCCTATCCCTGTAACAGATCGTAACGTCCTTGAATGTGAGATGTCCGCCTTCAGTTTTAAGGTATACTCGGGATCGAAGTAGCCCCGCCCGGTGAACGAGTGCTCGGGCCACTGTGTTCGCTGTTTCATTCCCCATTAGGCCCTGTTGGCCTGCTGGCAGGCAGGCTGGCAGGCAGGCAGGCAGGCAGGCAGGCAGGCAGGCAGGCAGGCAGGCAGGCAGGCAGGCAGGCAGGCAGGCAGGCAGGCAGGCAAAGAA